TATATTTATTTATTTATTTATCTGGATTCTAACCCGGGTTGCAAGGCCCCATATGTTCGCTAACAGCGCCAAAGTGACAAATGAGGGTGATAGCTTTGCGAAGCAGGTGCATGACAGGGAGAAGAGCAACAATTCATGCTTTTTAGTCACAATCTGACTCAGAGCAAGTACCAACCGTTATGAAGCATCATTGATCATGATGCTGTAGGCCCATCATTTATGTGAGAGAATAATTTAGAAATAATGCAGCGGTTGCAGAACAACACTGGGGCCTTAAATAATTACCTGAAAATAACTTTAATAATTGTGCCAGATCTCAAATACTATTGCAATGTTTTAAAAATAGAAATTCGACAAAAACACTATAAAGTCACTGTTATAATAAGATTATAAGACTATTACAGATCAGATTTTTGGAGCTGCAGAGGCAAAATTTTGCATGAACATCTGGTGATTGTCTGTTCTTGCCTGGAATTAATTATTCAGCAGATCCTTGCAGGTGATTAATCCACTCATGGTCTTAATTTCGATTTATTTATTGGATGCATTAATTGGCTAAGAAGCTCTTTGTCCTAATTGGCTCTATTTTTCCTTTTTTTTTTGTCCTCCGCAGACGTGGCCTTTCATGGTCGCAGGTAAGCCGGAGACCGATTTGAAGGAGATGCTGAACACAACAAGGTTATGTGGAACAACGGCCTCCTGACGAAACCAAGCGGACACCTCTATCAGTCTTTAAAGGAACAATGATTTTCCACGAAAAAAGAAAGATTTGTGACTGAAACGCACGTCTCATCTCCGCAGACTTTGAGTGGGAACACGGAGAGAGAGAGCAGCATCCCTCTCTCTTCGTTCCCGTAAAAGGAAATTGAGTTTGTATTTAAATGCACTTCTGGTCACCTGTTGTTGTCTTTGCTGGTATATCAAAGGAAAAATGCTTTAAATCGCCTTTTTCTTTATACTCCTGCAGATGCATTTTTTTTTTTTTTTTTTTACTCATGCAGGCCTGCATGGCGGCTGCATTATGATGGATGGATGAGCACATGCAACGTTCAAGTGTCCACTGTCTCAAATGGTTGTACAGATTACATGTATATAAAATATATTTGTATCACTTTTACACCTCGTGTACTGAATGTTTTCTTTTTTCTTTTTCGTTGAAATCTGTTTTGATTCCGTGTGTGGCCCAGTGCTTTGACCCAGTAACCCCTCTTATCGCTCCACTCCTTCAGAAAAAGCAGAACCTGAGCACCAACGAAGCATCAGCGCAGATAAGTCTCTCTCTGTTGTTTCTAAAAGATAACACTGGACGTGGTTGTCATTACATAAACAAACTTTTGCCTTCAAAGATTATTTGGGACCCCAAAAGCAGTTTGTCCTCTTGTAATTTAAACAAGTCAAATTAGGTTTATCTCCCTGCCAATTCCACTGATAACTGTGGGCCCAAAAAAAGGTGTGCGGAATAAACTACAGTGCGAGATTTGTAGTTTACTAACACTGGTCTATTTCACCTTTAAATATTCAATGTAACACTTAATTGCGGACTTTATTTATGACAATAACACAGCTTGTTTACTTCTGAAACAATCCTTTCACTACCGGTGTGTCCAGAAATGTGATTTTCATTCAGCATAACTACATTTAGTCTGATTAACCATCAGGTGTGCAATGATTGGATAGTCTATTTTGGATTCAGCCAATCAGAAGTGAGGACCAGAGCAGAGAGTTGAGGTCATTTTAGACATTTTGAAAGTTGTAAAAAAGAAAAAAAAAGAAAAGAAGCTTTAATCCCGCCCAGACCAGTTGTTTTAATTCGCTCGGGTTATGACCGCTATGTTTACATCATGACCGACAGTTATTTATGCAGTCTGACACGAGGCCTCTCTCTCTCTCTCTCTCTCTCTCTTTCACTCTGTCTGTCTCTCTCTCTCTCTCTGTGGTTTGTTGGGTTAAAATGTCCACATGGTACGTCAACATCACCAGCATCTCTCTGCTTTCTCCTCCTTTTTGTCTAGATGTGGTTGAATGCTAAGAAAGCACAACCTGCCAAAAGCTGCAGAACTCCATTCACATTCAGTGGCTGTTCTATAATAAAACAAACATTTCTACTATTTGAAGCACAAGTGAAATTGCATTTGTTTGCATGTTTAAAGAATAAATGCACATTCACATAGTCCTACAGTCTTTTTCTTTATACAATTCTTAGGACCATGTATCATCATACCTCTGCTCCATTATATTTCAGCGGCAGATATTGTACCATACTCCTTTGCATTGTTCTGACAGCTATTAAAGTTACTTTATAGATACATTTTACATACAAACCTTTTGATGAGTTAATCAAATATGATAGCCTACATTGTTATGGATCAACCTATACCCAACGGGATATGGTCGATTATTACCAACTACAGTTATTACAAAGCCATAGCCAAGGTTGTAGAAAGGAGAAATGCCGATTGATTATGCTAATTTAAATATCTTCTATCTATGATCCATCTAGCTAATGAGACTAAAATAGGCATGCTCCCTTTAGGTCATAACAGTAAAACCCTCATATTTCCAGAAAAAGTAGAGAGGACATGCAGTGGTAGCTGTGGCACAGGGGTTAAAGCGTTAAAATGCTGTTTACACAGTAATGCCTCAATAATGATAATCCAACAATTTTACACTGACTTCAGTCATTCTGCTTCCTAATAAGCATCATACTTCTGCTTTTGATAGTAGGGTACATTTTGCCAGTAAAATGTCTATTTGTTTGCTTAAGAATATTTTGTATGCTTGACTTAAACTTTTACTGGAGTATTTTTTAGAAATTTAGAGATATTTTTACTTTTACTAAGTAAAGGATATGGATACATATGCCACCAAAGCACAAAAAAAGTTTAATTTAATAATTTCTTCCTTTTTTCCATCATTAATGTTTGGAATTTAAATTGTATTTAAATAGTGTTTTTACAAAAAAGTGCTATTTCAAGGTCCTCTTACACCATCTCATGGTTTTCCCCAACAGAACAGTTTTCTCAGCTGTCATGGAGATATTTACATTATTATTTAGGCCAATGTGCTAATTTTACTTTACTTTTCAGTGAGTAGCAGGGGGGATGAGGCTGACTTTACTTGTTCACTTCACTTTGCCTCATGCCTAAAGGACAGTACCATCTATCCTTTAACAGGAACAATAAGATTGAGTGCTGTGGTAATAAAAGAGTCCCACCGACGTCTCTTCAAGGACCCTCACCTAATACATCAGCGGCGGCGTGGCAGGGGCCTCGCCGCCACCTCAAAGGGACCACCGTGGAGAAAATAAACTTGGCCGCCTCTCTCCCAGGTCCAGCTGCAGAGAGCGAGAGAGGAAGAGAGATAGGGAAGGGAGGGAGGGGTCTGTATGAGAGCAGGGCCGGGATTCCCATACTTGCTAATTGTTTTGTTGGACGGCTGCCCAAACTGTGATGTGAAAAAGGTCCACGGGCTGAGGGGAGGAAAGGAATCACATTGTGTTCCAGCTGATCCCATAAAGTTTCCCATCTGCACTCATGGTTCCTTCAGATCACTGGCTTTATATTGGCATAACTGTTTGTCAGGGGTGATATGGCCAATGCAGTATAATAGTGTGAGGGCTAATAGTAAATCGTATATACTGCACATTCCAACATCTCTCTCTCTCGTCTGTCTGTCTGTGCAGAAATATTAGACACATATATATATATATATATTAACCAATGGAGAGACAGATATATTGTGTTTTTTTCAGTATTCTTAATTATTCCGATTCTGTTGAAAACAACACATCACTCCTCTCCTATGTTACATCACTACATCTCATGTCATTACTCCCCCGAAGCTCTCCCCAGGCCCCTCCCTCACATCTATCTGTGCATTCAGTATAAGACTGCCATCTTCTGGACAAAATACAAGGTGTTTTTAGACATCTTGGAACCTGACAACCATCTGCAGACTTCCCATTGATGGCCATTTTTCATGCTGCAAAATTCTACGCATGAGTTTGAACACATGTGGAAAATACGCACAAGAGATACATTTAGAGATTTATTTGGATGATTATAAAGACATGCTGATTGTAACACATTGTAAATATTTTAGATTGACGGCATAGGCTTCACAAAACAGAGCACACATTAGACTTTTTCACAGCCGCCATTTTAATATGAAATAGTCGGGTAAACAAGGTTTTACCAATGCTAATACTAATTAAGGTTCTGTTCCATTTAGGTCAAACAGAGTCAGGGTGCTTCATTTATTACGTTTTGATGGATTGTTTCAAATTGGTTTGGATTAACATCACATATTGAAAAGCAAGAAACCACTGAATGTGCTGTGATTATTAACATTATCATAGATTGCATTCTGCTTTGGGAGGACCAAATGTAACTCATCACCGACATTCAGCTCTAGAATAACAGCATTTGACAGGTACTGAAAAGATGAAGAATACTTGCCCTGCAAATTAAAAACAATGGATTTCCCGTTATGAAATAGTTGAACTCCCATGTTTCCATCACTTGTATGACCACATATAGTAAATCTGAAATAGTACACTCCTTTCACTGGTGCAGTGAAGTAACCAGTGCTTGGACTGTAGCTGTTACCAACATTGGTGAAGACCTTGCTGAACCTTAGGACTGTTGCAGTATTGTAAGGCCCTACACCTGCTGAGTTTGTCAAAGCAGCATAAAATGCCACCTTTTCACTTGCATTGGTTAGACTATCCAGTCGGTGCTCAGTAGTGTTCATCCTGCCTGTTAAAGATGTAACCTCAGCTTCTTGAGCTGTGTTCTGAGCCTGCAAGTCATCCATCTTACACATTACGAGCTGTAGCTCAGTGTCACTGACTGCCACTCTGGCTTCTAGGGACAAAAGTTCAGCTGTCTGGTTTTTAAGATCAACCCTCAGCTCCATGTTTACTTGCTTCAGCTCTTCCACTTGCTTCGCGCTGGTTCTCAGACTCTCCTCCATGGCAGTGTAATTTCTCTTCAGCTCCTCCAGGCTGGTTTTAGTGAGGGCAAGCTCCAACTTCTGCTCATCTGCCTGTATCTCTGTAACCCTCAGTCTGCCTTCCATGTTCAACAGCTCCATCTTCTGCACCATCACCATGTCTCTCAGAACTGTCATCTCCTCCCAAATGTCAGGGTTGTTGCTGGTCTGGCAATTATAAGGGTCCAGAGGCTGCCTTTTGTTAGGCAGGGAACTGTGGGGTTTGGTCTCCCCTTCTTCACTTGCTTGCACCTCAAGAGCCTGTGAACCCAACAGGCAAAGCATGAAAAACAGCGAAGATAAACCAGCTCTCATTATTGCTGTCTTCAGGGGAAAATGATATATGGGTCTTGGTCACCTTGTTTATATAAGAGAAGCAGCTGATGTCATGAAAGCTGCAGGGTGGGTTTTTGATAAACAGGTTGACAAACTCTGCTTAAAAGGTAAAGGCGGCACAAAGATAAATAGAGACAAACGATAGCATTTTGGTACAATACAAGGTCATGTGAGAAATCCCAGGTGGTGCTTCACTGAGGAGGGTGGTCTGGTGGTGGGGTTGTTTTGGGTCAACTTGTTCCTCTGTCCTTTTAACTGGTTTTGTGTTTTTTACCCCCCTATGTTTTGTTATATCAGAGGATTTAGAACTTGAGAATTTTGTTTGTAATTGGATACATTATTTTATTGTAAATTAATAAATAAGTAGTAGTAGTAACATCTTTTGGAGTTCTGCTGCCAAACACCAATAAGGAACAAAATGTTGCACAAAAAAGAGAGACTTGAGAAAATTGAAGTGAAGTGAATGAAGTGTCAGTTGAGTATTAGATGTATTTTGGAATTTTTGTGTCATTTTCTGTGTGAGAGAAGAGAAAAGAGTTGTGCTGCTTCAATCTGTTTTTTCAACTGTTCAGTCTCTGCAAAGTACGGCCATGACTGCCTATTTTTTATTTTTATTTTATTTTTTTTATTTTTTTATTCCTTTTTTTTTTCTGCCAATATGTTCTAAGTTAGTGACCTTACTTCCAGAAGGTGTCTTCTTACATAATGTTTGCAATGCAGAATGTTCGCTCCAAGCTGACACATACAGAGACATGGAGAAACACTTCTGTCATGTGTTCATATCACCAATTTAAAATTCTGTATAGTTATTGGTTTCAAGTGCTCTCACTTGTATACTTTCAAATATAGTTGTGGTTATGGATGGTGTTTGTTGAGGTGGGATTCCTAGTGTTTACGTAAATGTATGAGAAATGCATCATTTAAATTGTCCTTTATTTAGATTTAAACTTCTATTTAAATTAGTTGAATAAATCCATGAATTCAACTGGCACCATTTGGGATTTCTTCCATAGCCCTTTTTTATCTCATGTCTCTTTCGTCTGGGCTTGTACTGTTTATTAAAAACCCTGCCCAATGATCTATCAAGCACACATGCTGCGGCTCTCACGACAAAAGTCCAGTTAACGCTTTGCTTTGTAGAAGGAAGGTAACCAAGCCCCATACGTCTCTATTTTATCTGTCGAGAAAAACATTATTACTATTTCAAGTAACAGCAAAACTCTTTATTATAGTTAATGAACTGACATGGAAAGGGTTGACCAGATATTTTTACCAGAAGGTGGCAGCCTTATGGGTGACACACATCATTTTGAGCAGTGGTTGGAAGCATGAAACGTAATGGATGAATGGCTGCCATTTGACACGAACTGACATCATTACCAGCTGCGCTTCAACCTCAGTCCCTCAGTGTTTCTGTGCAATTATTTAATCTAACAGTGGATTTGTAGCTTTGCACACAGATGTCCATCACTTACAATTTACTAATGTTCCAAAAGGAGAAACAGTGTTTAAAAATACTTTTCAGGAACCTGCTAACGGTATCTATTTGAACCAGTAGATGGCAGCAGAGGATGCAATATAATGGAAAAGGTGTAAATGTCAAAAAAAGAAATAGGGAGAAGCAAGAGAGATGCATTGCATGGATTTTTGAGGATTTGTAAGATGATGACATGGCACAGCGATTAAATGGAGCACAGAGTATTTGGACAAAATGGAGGATCACAGCAGGAGCGAGGAAGCGTCAAAGTAGAAATATAAACTTGTTTAAATGTTTTGGTAAAAGAGTGCTGACTGCTGTGGCTGGTTTTTAACATTAGATATAGTGAGTGCTGAACATCAGTGTGTCACACTCATCCCGCTCATCGTGCATTTAAAAAAAATTGCCAGATACATTAACATGACTGAGGTTAGGGAACAGCTGGTGGTGGTGTCAATTTGTATCAGATGGCATGGTAGCCTGGCACAGCAGCTACCAGAGTAGAGAAGATGCCAAAGATAGCTGAGGCCTGCCCAGATCACCTACCCATGTTTATTGGCATGCTTACATTTGTGTGTGTGTGTGTGATGACTGGCACCAGTTTGGGATTATTAAAAGGAGCACAGCAGGTGTCTGCCATGAGACTTCTGGCCTTTACATCATTGCCGGAGCCATGTATGCAGTAAATTATCTGTATTTATCTTCCACGTTCTTCTTGTCACAGAAATAAAATGCTGTTTGCCTTTTTGCTTTTTAAAAACAGCTGGTCCAATAGGAAGAACCTTTTTAATTTTGTTGACCCCCACTTGACCTTCCCATTAACAAGATTAGGTGTGAAAGAAAAAAAATATATAGAGCAGCTATGTTTTCAAGAATAAATTGAAACGAGATATTATAACTGTTCTGCTGTGTCAGTTTGACCTTTTTCTAGCGTATGGTCCATCACTGAGGTTGTGTGCTATACATAGTGTGTATTTTAATTAATTTGTTAAAATAATAATAACACCAATGGGGAAGAGGCACTGAAATACCATTAAGTATCAGAGTCACTGGTGTGTGTTTAAAGAATTTTGACAATTTGGGAAATAATAAGTGACTTCCTGAAGTATCTGCTGGTGGCCTGAAACCCTGAAGAAATGGTGCAGCACATAACTCAGGTAAACACAACTAAATCTTTTTTGTATGGATTTAAAAAAAACTTTTTAAAACATGTTAATTAGTGATCTATAGAGGTGCTGATAGGTGGATTTTGTTACTTTTGCAGAGAGCCAGGCAAGTTGTTTCTCCTTTTTCTGGTCTTCAGGACAAGCAAAGATAACTTAGTTCCAGCTTTATTTTGAATGGAAGCTTCTCATATAACCCTTGGCAAGAAAGCAAATACGCATAGTTTCCAAAATGTCAAGCTACTCCTTTAATTATGTAATCTTGCTATTTGGTTAATACTTGTTGGTGAAAAGATAGGTTTGCATTTTATTTTGCTGGTATTGGTAAAAATTCACTTAAAAGCGTTTTTGTTTTTGTCACTCACATCAAAGATCAGAAAACATCACTTTGCTCTCACACACACACACAGCTGTCAGGTAGACAAGAAGAGCAGATGAGTATCCATCTCTGCTTGGGTGCTTTCAACCATTCTCCTCCTCCTGAGCCATTATACATAAGTGAAAAACAATAAATTTCACTTTGAAACCCAAACATAAGCTCAAAGAGGTGTTTGTGTCTCAAGCCTTGAAGTACTTGCTTGCACACACAGATTTATGTAGCCTAAAGTACTTCACCGTCAGCAGACTGTGAAGGAATTTGACCTAAACATGGTGGTTGTCAGCCCATGCTTTAGCGATTATGTTACAATAATTAAAATCACTAATGTATGTGGAGGCCACTCATTTTACAAGGTAGGCAGGGAAACAACTGAAATTTGAAAGTGTGCTGCTCAGACTAAATTAAGTATTTATTTGATATGTGGAAGACTGAGGATGGACAGTCAACTTGACTACAACGTGACTCTGATTGATAGATGATTGTTAGGCCTGCATAGAGAAGTCAAGAAGTCACTCAAAGCCTTGAACTGCTAAGCTTATAAAATATAGTATTGTAATTGGACAGTTTAGGTCTTAGGGAGTGTTGATAGTCAAATGCAATTTGGGATCAAAGAGCAAGCAAAGGGTAAAAGAGGTCACTCTTACACACACACATCCATGCTGTAAGAGCAGTGTTAGTAGAAGGAAGGGGCGCCCGACTAAATGATGTTTTCCCAGGTGGGCACAATTACCTGTTCATGGAGTGTGTGTGTGTGTCTTACACAAGCCTCGGTATGTGTGTGTCCACGTGTGTGTCTGTGTGTGCATAAGAATTATCCACATGTTGTTTTTAGAGGATTCAGGTCTATTACAATTAGGAAGACATGAATCAAAGTCAGACTCCCACAGTCCTCTGCAGACCACTCGAGAACCATCAGCTGAGCAGCAGAGAGTCAGACAGCGTCCTGATGCTTTTCTTATTATTACCACTTAGAATAATATCGTGCAGACAACTATGATACCTCAGCAGCGTCCCGGGTTTATTTAACAAGTGGCTATTCATTCCCAGTTAGAGCAGAGCACTCACAAAGCCAGAGGGAGCAGGATGATGATGGGTCACTGCATAGGGGAGCAGAACACAAGCTCTCACTGTTGAGTCATGGAGTTTATGAGAAGCCGAGGCTAATCCTCAGTGAGTGTGTGTGTGTGTGTGCGTGTGGACAAAAATCCAGTCCCAGTCTGTTTGTGTGGAGGCATATGACGTGCAGGATTTCACTCAGGGAGTGATACAAACACCTGCTTTAGTGCTTATCAAACTGAGGCGGTGAGTGTGTATGCACGCGTGCGGCCTTGCGTGTGCACATCTGAACTAGCGAACATGTGTCTCATTATACGCTGAAATCACTCACAGGTGACTTTGTTTATTTGATCTTAATTAAGCCTGTGCCTCTTCCCACATGGAAATCTGACCAAGACTTTCTTCTTCTATTAATTCCAAACAACGTTCCAAGGATTGTGGTGAAAACCCAGAAGAAGAAGAGAAACGGGAAAAAAAAACACATTTGTCAAAACTGTGCCCGCCCTGATGGCTGTAACAACGTGCCATTTTTATCCACACTCCACCAAAATGGGAATACCTCGGAATGCCAAGCACACATGGGCTCAATTATCATCCCATGGAATTCTGCAAAAAGTAAAGTCGACAATAAGGAAAATATTCCTCTAATCTGGGGTCTTCCTCAAGCTGGGTGTGAAGGAAATTTAGGGGGTCCCCGTTTTAATTGGGTCCAGATTCGACCACCCTATGGAAAGTGGGCCGGGACAGTTTTTTTAGTGGGGTTATTTTGTTGAAAAAAGGGACTATTTTGGTTGTACGTGAATAAATGTCTGACTTTTCAGAGGGGCTTTCTGCAAACCAGATCAGACTGCCCCAGTGTTATAGGAAGCAGATGGACAGGACCAAGGA